TCACTATATTTTTCAGAATACTTTCCACTAACTTGCCCAGAGTGTTGTGTAGCTCATTGATTAGGTCTTCCTTGCATCTGTCTGGAATTTCTGAAAAAAATAGGCTCCTTGTTCTAGTACCAAAGAAATTTTAGACAAGAAGCTTTATTCTACAATTAGCACTTCTCTATTTCATCCTGAGTTCCCTTAGAACTTTGGGGTGAACTGCAGTTGTCGATGGCTCATTATTAGTTTCTTACATCTTTTGCAAGTTCCTTCCCATGCTTTTTTTTTTTTTTTTTTGGCCCATCTTACTGTGATTTTTTTCACTTAACATGCCAACACTTGAGTTTTATGAAGTGTTTTCTTGCTTTAGAATCTGACTTTATCCTGCTTTTTAGTCAGGCTGCCTTTCTTCTAGACCTTTTTCAGTCTTTCTCTATGTGTGGTACTAGTTTTTCCTGAGAATCCAGTAAATAGTGGCCATTCCAAGCTATGGGAGGATGCTGATAATGGTGGCTGTAGAACAGAATGTAGCAAAGAAAAAAGGGGTGCAGAGGAAGGGAGTGTACTTCTTGTGATGGAGTCACTTGGCATGGCTGTACAAGAGCAAGAGAGCATTACCTATCCTTCACCAATGCATGATGGTCATGAAATTTTGTTAAAAGGCGTACAGGATGTTTGCTGTAGAGCAGAAAATTGAACTCAGATCTTTAGAGTTCAGGACTGTCACACAGCCAAAACAGCAGATGGATCTCTCTTGCTCTTATTATAAGTGCTATTGCTAGGGTGATCTTAGTCCCATTAGCAAGTCAGCATTTTCACTAACACAGTGGCTTAAATAATATTACAAATTAACTATAAAGAAAAGAAAATAAAAACAGAGAGATCACTGCCAATGGCTTTCAAAGGAGTCTGCTTCTTTCTCAAGCATTTGACTGATTGCTTCAGGAGGCAGTTGTGGAGGAAAAGGAATAAATGCAGGAAATATAAGAGATAGAACTGGGATGTGCGGGGTTTCTCTTGAGAAAGAAAACAGCAAAATTTGTGGATGTATGGGGAAGAAACAGGACTTTATTCTGCTAAATCCATATTTTAAGGAAGAAAGACCCAGGACAATACCAAGAAGAAAATACCAATATGTTCACTATTTAATGATTTTTTTTTTCTTAATGGAACTGAAAAACACTTCTTTAATATGTTAAACTATGGTTCATTTTAAAAGGTCAGATGCTGACAATTGCTTATCTGGAGATGTATTAATGCAGAACTGTTTCATAAATATGGCTATGCAATATAATGATTTAAAAGAAAGGTGCAGAAAAGAATACTTGGCTTCTACTCTTAGCTCAGGCATTGATTTCTTTGTAACCTCTAGCATGTTGCTTCACATGTGCTGTCTGTTGTTATAGTAAGTACTTATAATATGTTGACACTTAGGTTATTGGTGTTATGAATTCTCAGCATATTCAGCTTTCAGTATGTGTGGTTTCTTTTTATTTTTAGTTTCCTTCTTTTCTTTCTAACAGAAGAAGCTATCTGGATACATTTTGACTTTCACAATCTATTTCTCCAGGAAGTAGAAACAGAAATCTCCAGGAAATAAAAATTTTTATTATTATTATTATTATGTACAGTAGTTCTGTATGTACATTTCTGTTCATTTTTGGTATAAATAATATGCAATGTAGCTCTATTTTTAAAATTATTTCATTAAAAATAAATAAAGAGCTTTGGAGTTATGTGCTATTATAAATGCTGTTTATACAATAAACTTTGAATTTTAGTAGAGAACATTTTAAGATGCCTTGGATCAGTTGTTCAGTCTTGGATCAACAAATCTTCGCCTTGAGCCCCACTGAAGATTAGGGGGCGTAGAATACAGTGCAGGAAAGAATAGGAAGCTTTGATACAGCTCTCTCTGATATAGAGAGCTATATTTAAACCCTTGCTGCTTGTGCCATCTGTGACTTTGCAGCACAGGGATCTGTAATGTTGAAAGAAGATGGAAGAGAAAAAATGAGGTACTTCAGGTAGAATGGAGCATATTGGAGATGTATTTCCAGTTTTAGAAGAAAAAAAAAAAAGACACTACAGCTATACTTCTTGATATTGATTCCTAATTGATACAGTAACTTTAAAATGATTAGTCAATTGTGAAATGGAGTTTATTTTGTAAGGAAGCCAACTGAGATAGTTTTGGGTGGGGTTTTTTGTTTGCAACTTTAAATATACATCTCAGAAGCTTTTTCTTTTCTTTTTGATTATAGTTTGTTCCTGATTTTGTAGACTTCTTACAACATTTTATGTGCTATCAACCTTAGTATTCTGCATTTGTAGCTGTAATACCATTTATAAGATGCTTATCTTCAAGTCAGAAGAAGAACAAAAAATAATTTTACAATACCCATTGACATAGTATTGCATATTCAGTGTTTTTTCCTTTATTTCCTTGCCCTAAACCTAAAAAATATCTTTCTCTACTGCGTACTTCATGATGATTTCATACCAGACCCCAAGTTTGTTAAATATGATCATGGCCTCGTGAAAGTAAGTACTCGTGAAAACGAGTACTGTGAAATTTTGAGATGTTCCAGCTTTTCCCAGATAAAAGATAAGACCTTCACCTCTTTCAGTGTTCAGAATACTAGTCTCTTTTGAATCTATTCCAGTAATGTAAAAATAAATAAAGAATCAATACTTCCTGGAACCTTGTACAAGATTTGGAAGAGCAATGGAGATAAGATAAGCTTTCCCTGTGTGAAATCCTTTCACCTTTGCAGTTTTTCCTTGTGTCATGGTTTTCCAGTGAACTAGTTTAGCAGGAACTGACATAATGTTCAGAATGAAACCGGGTGGATTCCCTTTCCCATTGTCATTTCAGAAGCTGTACTAATGGCTGTACTATTCTGCATACTGAAGATCATTGATAATATGAGGGTTGGAAGTGGGTGAGGGACAGTTCTGTAGTCTTAAAACTTTAAAGAGTCTGGAGAATAATAAAACAGCTTCTGAAGTGCAAAACATGAGGGTGTTGTTTTTATTCTGTGACATCTGACACAAGTCTTCTGGATTAGATAGACAGTGGACACGATATATATGGTATGATATATATGGTATGATATAGAAACTCCTAAAAGGAAAAAAAGGGAGTACTGAGTAAACAAAATGAAGACACAGAATAAATTTTCTGACATAACTACCATGAGTTGGAAGGCATTTTGCTGCTTGCTCTTTGGATGAGCTCCCAACAGAAAAGACTAATATTTAGTCTTGTCCATTGCTGTCTATCAGGAAAATGTGTTGCATCATTTGTCTGCTGCTTCCAGGTGCTTAAAAAAGCTCAGTGGTTGCTCCCATTGAAACTTGAGTGCTGTCCAAATGTTAAAATAAGTCTCTAAAAAGCTCAGTTCATTACAGAAGGCCATGTCCTATGGGACAAGAACCAAAGCACCCACTGCCCTACTTCGTCACTATCATTGGCACTTTCCTCTCAGTTTTGCTGGCACAAGTCTTTGTGGAACCATGTGGTAAACTGGACCAAGGGCTGAAAAACACCCTTCTTTTCTGCTGGGTTGTTTTGAAGCAGGATCATTTCCCTAATTCATCTTAAGGTGTGATACCACAAATAGTTGTGCCAACACCAGTGACGGTATACTACACAGCTGGCTAGAAATAAGTGGTAGAGTTGGGAATATCTTAAGCTGCATTATTATCAGTTGAAAATTTTATCTGATTTAGTCAATCTGATCTTCTGGTTAGATAAAGCTGTTGTACTACAGAGAGACCCCAGAGGGCATATAGGCACCAATATTTCATATGCATTGAAGTTCAGAGCCTAGAAAATTTTCCCAGAGAAAGGACACAGTATGAAGTCTTTTGAAAGGCTGTGCATGTTTATGAATAGTTTGTGTTTGATTTTATTTGATTCCTTTCAGTTTCTATTCTTCTCCCATACAAAAAGAGTCTTGTTACTTCCTTCCTAATTTCACTTAATCAGTTTTTTTTTTTTTCATTTATTATACAAATAAGACAATTGGAATAAATGCTGGAAAAATGAAATTATAAAAATATGTGTTCTAAATATGACAAGCTGTAAATACTTTATGGATATGTAAATAACGGTCCCTTCTCCGAAGACTTTACAAAACAATTTGAAAGAAGGGAAAATGAATGCAATAATTAGAAGAAAGAGCACAGAGGAACAATAGTTTTCTGATCAGATTCTGATAAATTGTATCAGGTCACCATATGCATAATCTTTCAAAGAAGTAATTTCAAATGAAAGAACACTTTTTCATGAGGCATTCTCCTCAGTGTCTTGGTTTGACTGGGTGCAAGTTTAACCATCGTCTGCCACTGTTGGAAAATGAGCTTGTGACTACTGGGGATTCCTCCTGTTCAGTTGTAATCCATCAAGATCACACGACAGTTACAACCTGGTCAGCAGACTCAGAAGACAGAAGGACCAGACCCCTGCTCCACCGAATGCAGTATCCTGCTTTAAGAAGAGGAAGCGATGCCAGTGCTCTGAAAAGAAGGTACAAACACCAATCCAGGCTATATGAATGGTGGATGATGATTTTGAGAGATGGTGGTGATGATGATATACACTATAAGTGCATTTATTCCTTATATTTCTAATATGATTGTGCTTCTTATCTCTCAAAGTATCCATCGTTCTTCCAGGGCAAGGAACAATGGTAAGAGTCTGTGGGGGAAGCTTTCCTTTCAGCTTTCTGCACTATACATGTTCTGTGAATAAATAAAACTTCACTCCCTTAGGTTGACATTCACTGAGTCAATTTATTTGAGACCATTTAAACAGTTCTTTTTAAACTCCATAGAATAGAATATGTTTAAGGAAGTCATTATGAAACAGAATCTGGACTCATCTTGGGAGGGTTGGTCTCTCCCACCTTATCCTCACTTCTAATTAGTACAGCTGGGGTGTGGCACTAAGCAGATAATCTCCCCCTCTGGCAGTACAGCTGAATGCTCTTAATCTTTCAAATTGTCTTTATTTTATCACCCTCATTCCTTAGTTTTGTGTACACTCCATTACAAATAGGAGTATATCCCTAGTGGAAGGATGGTTCTTCTCAGCAAAGAGAATTGATCTCAGAGAAAAATGAGAAGTTGTGATGACATTGATTCACATACAAGCTGAGGTATGAAAAACAAGAAACTTGTTGCAGGTTTTTTTTTCCTTGGTTGCCTTTTTATTTATTTATTTATTATTATTATTATTTTTTTTTCTTAGCAACCCTTTAAAAATGTTAAGGATAGCTCAAATTACTGGTAATTTAAGAACACTGAATGTAGTACAACTTTAATCTATCTTGGTTTTGCTTATGGCTTAGGTGTTGCTACATGTGTAGCAGCAGGAGGAACCAGTCTGGTGTACCCATGCATACTAGAGGAGCCCCCCCTTGCATGCAGACACACCTACCTTTGTAGTAGGGAAATGGCTCTAAACAGATAAGCATAGTATAGGTGTAGTGAAGTAAAAACTGCTTCACAGTATTTTTTTTCCTTCTTGTTCATCTTTGTATCTTCACTATCCACATGTAATTTTATCCTTCTTTCCCTCTTCCTTTCATATGCTGTGTATTATTTTGATCCAAATCTAAAGTTCTTTAAGTACTCTGAATTATCTCAATATTAATAGTATGTTTAGAAGTATATCCTTAAATTTTAAATGCATCCTGCTCGTGCAATGTGTGAGCCAGGAGTGTTCAGTTCTGACAGGTTTCTGGATGTACTATAAGGACTAGTTATTCTTGCAGAATAGTTCAATATATTCAGTTTTATTTTTATTGTTTTCCTTAGGGCTTTTTGTTTGTTTTCTTTATTCTGTTCAAATTCATCTAGGGTGAAGCATGTTCAGAGAAGCAGATTTAATAAATGTTAAAATGGGAAAAAATAAGATTCTTAGTCAGAAGTTTCCTAAATCTGAGGTCTTTACCACAACCATTCTACACAGCTTGCATCTGACTGCCCTTACAACAACAACAATAATAATTAAAGCTAGAGGGATATCAAAATATTTTAAGAGACTCAAAATGTGAAAAAATGATTTGAAATCCTTCACGGTCTCGTACTTGCTTAAGTGGCATAATTAGCCTTAGTTTAAGAGATGAAAGTTTAAACACTTTATATATATATTCTTTAGAATAGACAAAGAGGCTAGGATTATGTTAAAAATTTCACTGAAAATAATACAGATGCAAATGTAACTAACCTTCCCATTGGAATTTCCTGACTTTTGAAAGTGGTTTACCAGAGTTGCATTAGATTTTTGAAGCATTTGTACCTCTGTATAAATTTGTTTATACATGGATAAATTTGGTCATTAGATAAATGTCCGCAGGAACATAATAGTGCACTCTAGTTTTGCACTCTAGTTTTTCCTTTTTTTTTTTTACAATGCTTGAAATTTCTCATTTAAAATTCTCCAAGTAATATTGCTGAGGGTGCGGGAGGTCAGTAGATGGAGAACCGCTGAGACCAGTTAATCATTAGAAGCCCCTCAACATACTATGACCTGAAGCCACATGACTTTCCAACTCTTACCTTGTCCTTTGCTCAGATTTTCTTGCCAGATATTAAGTAGTGAGAGATTAAGAGACCACTGAAAGAATGCTGTGGGGAGAGAGAAGGACTAGGGGCATTAAGAGTGTGAAGTGAAAATATTTTTGTCTACAGCTTGGTGGCTATGAGCTCTGACCCTAAATGCATGCTGTATTTGTTTTAAGCTAGCACACTTGTATCTAATCATTGCAGCAGTAAATTTATAATTTAAGATGCTTTTTATTGAGGAAAGTATTTGATCAAGGCCATTCTTGAGCAGAATTCACCCAGTTCCATTATAGGGAGGTGCTAAAAAATTCTCACTTCTGGAGGAAAACTGAAGGTGGTTCTAATACCCAATTAATTACAGACAATAATTAAAAAACAATCTTTGAAAATTGGCATGAGTTTCATTTTCTCAATATGGCTAAAACCAAGTTGGTGTTTGTTACTTCAAGCAGTTTGAGTTACATACTTTATTTCCTTTAATATGTCTAGTTTTCCTCTTCCATTCTTTCATTTATGAAGTATTTAGCTGCTGAGAGTCAGCTTGATGCTCATGACTTAAAGTGCAGCATAGGAAACTGAGGAACTTATTCTAGAGCAACTGGGAGATCTGGATTACTTGTGAAAAAGATGCTTTCCATTCCTGTTCTTAGCACAACAAAATTCAAGCAGCTTTTCTCAAATGGGTTTATCAATTTCATTTGAATTAGAATAAAAACAAACCCTTTCATATTTCAGCTAAAAATATGCTCTGAAGAAAAATTTATACTCCTTCTTCTGTCTCCACAAAGGAATCCCTCTGGCAAAGATGGGAACATTTGAAGAAGCTGACTAAGAGTAAAAGGTTTTACAATTATATTCATGATGTACAGCAAAGCACATTGAAGGTCTGATTTTTCCAGTTCTGGAAAAGGTATTTGGTGACATTCTCTTGTCTCAAAACTTCCTTTAACAAATTTCTTCCACATATTGGAAGATATCTTTTCCCCTCACAGCAAGAATAGCAAAGGAAATTCGGTTCTTCTTCCTTTACAACTGTTGATGCAAGAAAAACAGATTTATTTTTTTGCTTTGAGATACTTAGATGTCAGAATTACCCTTTGGAACTATTAGTAGCAGGTGTTAATTAGAACAGTCTCTTGGCTGCTGTGATATACTCTAGGGGCAAGCCATGATTTTAAAGCCATATGTACATATCCACTCCAATCCCCCTTCCTGAGCATTACAAAATGCTTCTTGGCCACAGCCCAAGATCTAGATCTGAATAATTAAAGCAGAAAGTTTGGCATTTCACATTTCAGCCTTTTTATCATGCTTTTGCCCTTGCACTGATTTTTAAATGTATGAATGGAGTTTGTGTTAACAGTTAAGGATCTTGGCCAGGACTCATGGTGTTCTTTTGCTTCAGGGTATTGCCTATAAGGAACAAGGAATGGTTTAATTTTCTACATCAAGTAAGTTTCTTTAAAGCTACTCACAAAATACAGCCAGCCTCATACATTTCCAACCAATCTGTATTTGTATCTTTTCAATAGAGTTTGGAGAAGATGGATGAGAAATATGTTAAATGGGATTCACTTGGGCACTTACTTTATCAAAGATGTGACTTACGCTTAGCTCATTGTAGTTGCCTTGGTAGTTAGCACATGCATTTAAAACAGTATTTCCTCCTAATTCCAGTATATCTCATCATGCTTTCAGTACCTCTCCACTTGGTTTCACTCTCTGACCTTGGATAATCAGAACTTGCTGCATACACAGCAGTAGTAGGTACATTCCGTTTGTGACCAAACCCAGAAAACACCCTAGCATAGCGTTCAGTGGCGATCCATTACCATTCTAATCTTAAAAACTTAAAATCTTAAAAGTCATGTCTTAAACCCAGTCAGACACTTTTCAAATTCTGTGCAAGCCTTACAGAGTGTTAAGAGAAAGCCAAGCAGTAACTTCTTAGCTACTGCATTACATTTTATCCTGTGTGTAACGGAACTGAAAGTGCTTCTGTGTGATTTGAAACCATCTGGCAGAGAGTGTGCAGACGCAATTCCAGGAATGCTCTTGCACCTTGTAGAGGAGGCACTGGGAATAAAATGCCAATGATAAGTATTTAGGCAAGGTTACATTGGCGATGCTCTAATAATAAAGCAAAATACATCTTAATGCTATATACCAAACACACCAGGAATGTGACGGTGCAAATGTCTTGAAGTAATGGGAGTTTGGGCTGTTGCTATGTGCCCGTGGTGCATGGCTCTGACCTGGGAGCTGGTGTGCGAAGATCCTCACACTGCTCTGCAGTGTTGCCACTGTGTTTTCTGACATCACTGAAAACACAGAGCCCATTGACATTCTGTTTGGCTTGGAAAACAGCAGAACAGCTTGTGGATATATTTTAAAAAGCAGATCTCACTTAAATGCCATTCCTACTGTAGAATAAGGGTCCCAGGAAAAAAAAAAAAAAAAGAAAAAAAAGTTGAGCTAAAAAGCCCTACTTTAATTAGCAAGCATTAACCTGGACTGTAAGATATCCATAAATGTACTTAAGGCCCAGAATTCGTATTTAAGTATGAAATAGTTCCTTCCCCCCACGCCAGGGAGAACAGCTGATATCAGGAGCCATGCTAGGCATGGAGCTCTCATCCTGACTCTGCTACAAATTTAGTTCAATTTCCCTTCTTTCTAATTTCTCACCCTTTAGAAGGAAGGTGAAGGGAAGATTATTTGCCATTAAGGCATTTTATGATTTTTTATGAATAAAGTAATTCCACCAAAATAATTTTAAAAATATATTATTTCTTCATTTTATGTGAAAAAAAATTTTAACATCAAAACTAAAGAAACTGGAAAAGGCAAGCTTGAATTTAATTTTTTTTTGTCAAGTTCTTAAAGGTTTGAAGATGAACACTTTTTCATCAAAAAGATTTATTGAATTTTTTAAGTGTCAGGAAAATGTATTTTGAGGAAAAACACAGAAAATGCTAACACTAAAGAATGCTTCTTGTGAAAATTTAATTTCATTGGAAAAGCTATATATACATATAAATTATTGCCACTTTTTTTTTTTTTTTTTTTTTTTTTTTTTTTTTTTTAGTCAGGATTTGCTGTAAGGCTAAATTCACTGCTTCAGAATTATCCTTTTTCTGCACGTGTAAACTATTAAATAAGAGAAATATCAATTTTCTTCTACTGCATAGTGTTTGGGACTCTCTTGTTTTTTCTTTTCACTTAACATGTTTGGTACCAAACTGATGTTATAGACTGGAGGGACAGTAAGGCACAAATCCTGAATGCTAGGTGGATTTGCAGACTTGCTCTGCTAACTGGCCGCTTATGGCTTTACTGTCCCTATACTTTTAAATTCTTTTGAATTCTTATTGGAGAGACTTTTAACTTCTTTCTGTGTGCCCATCCCTTCCCTGTCCCCCTACTTCCAAGATGATATTTGAGTTGCAGAGCTGGAATATCTCACAGCAACAGTTCAAAAAGAGTTTTGAAATACACTTGACCATTTCCATTTGCTAAGCTAGCATACACTTAAAATTTTATCATGCTGTGAACTCATGACTCTCCTAAGTCCCGAGATCCTCAGCAC